TTCTGACGGATGGGGAGCAAGCAGGAGAAGGCAGGAGTTTTGGCTGGCAAGATAATATATGCTGTTCTTGGCTTTCTATAAGACAAGGCTTGCTTAGGTCAGGAGGCCAAGTTCAAGTGTTTCAAGGGCTGGATCCAGCCCCTGGGCTACTCAGCCCACACTGCTTTAAAACTGCTCACTGTTTCAACATTTCATGGCAGAACGTGTGCAGCAGAACTTCCCTCCACCACCTTTCTTTTTAAACCAGGTTAGATTCCCAAGTGGTTTTTGTCTTCGATTGTAACACTGTATTGAATGTTTCACTGTGCTCATGCTTTAGAGAAATCTGTGTTTCCTCATCTGTGGTGGTGGTGGTGGTTTGTTTTGTTTGGGTTTTTTTGCAAGCATGAGTTATCAAGCAAGGTAATAGGGTAGTAAAAGTGCTTAACATTAAAAAAACTAATGAACAGCAATGTTGGATCTGTCCTCATACATGCAATCAATTTTATGAAGCTGGCTTCTTCAGACATTTCTCCAGGTGCTCATACAGGGCCCTGGGAAAAAATGAGTAATAAATACTTAAACACTTCCAATAATTTGATGAATATTTTACATTGTAGAATATGTGAATATTAGTAACATTAATGCAGACTTAAGAGTTAGAAAAACTTTTATTACCAGAATGACTGGTCACTAGGCTGTAGCTCAGGGACACAGGTAGAACAAAATGGAATGAAAGAAAGTGTTTGCCAAATTGTCTGCTTGTATTTCATGAGGTATTGAGAGTGCAAATGGAAAGTATCTCCTAGAGTATATCTGGTTCACACCTTCGCATTCTGGAAGGCTCTGGCAGGCCAAGTGACAAAGGGTATAGTATAGGCTAGACCATAACATTGGTGAGACAAAAGGAACAATAACTGCGAAGATGGATGCCAAATGGCAGTATATTTGAGGTCCCTTCTGCTTCAGTTGCTGCGTCTAGGGTCTAAGCAGACACTGCTGGCAGGTCTAGGGAGTGCTATGAGCAAATTACCTGGGGCTGGAAAAAAAGTTCAACTACTGTGTTTCAATCCAGTTTCTCTGAAGGCAAGAACAAATACATTAGAAAGCAAGTCTGGTACACCTATGACAGAGGAATGGAGGAAACATCCAGCTAAGGAAAACAATTTCTTCTGTCTTGAGGTTCTGTGATGACTTACCCTATTTCCATCCCATTTTCCTCTGTGCTTAAGTTCACTCCTAGCAATAGAATTCTATAGGTACGGTTGCGGTCTGTTAAGCGATTCAAGTTTCCCACCTCTGTAATCCCTGCCTGGTGAGATCTGTATCCACATCAGCCAGAAATGCACTGAAGCTCTCTGGTTAATAAAGTCTTCAGAGCACAGGAGAGGACTCCTTCCCCTCAGAGCCACCCAGCACCCTGCTTGGGCTAGAGGACAGAGCTTTTGGTTTTGCCAGCACAGTTGACCTCCCATGGAAATAAATAACCTGCCAAGTATGCCACTTGTTATCTAGTAACAGAGGAAAGCAGTGTTTTATTGTTGCTACTACCTTCATGGGAGCAGATGGCATAGAGTAAGCTAGCTCTAACATGTAGGCCAGAAGGACAGCCCTTTCTTTTGGGAAAGGCTCTCCACACTCATCCCAACATTAGTTCTTACTGGAAGGCAAAGTTGCCTTTGGTTGTTACCAAAGTGAGAATGCTTGTCCATCAGAAACTACCCTGAAGTACTCCAGAAAGTTAGCCTTAAAATAGTTATTCTGGTAGGACTTAGAGAGTTGGAATCTAGTCCTGCTTTTGCAGAATTTAAGTCCTTTCTAAATGAAATGTGGATGTATCACCCATCCAAAACCAGCTAACATTAAAATGCAGACAAAGTTGGCTGTGTAGAAGGCACTTGGAAGCAGTGTAGGGCTAAGAAATATATTATGTTGATGCTTTAATGCTAGGTAAGGAAGAGAGCTGTGTTTCCAAATGAGCATGTTAGGTTCAAACCGAAAAATGATTCGGTAATGAAACACGAGGCGATGGAATCATTTGAGAAAACATTTTTCTGCTCCTGAGATCAGAAGCACAAATATAGGGTATAGAATGTAAAGTATGGCAGTATTTTGAATGATATTTAATGTATTTCTACATCTTTACAGCATACACGAAAGTAGATTTTTGTGGGAAGACCAGCTGAGTTTTTTCTATGAGTTGGGGTTTTTTGGGGTTTTTTTTTATCAGCAGCAATCCTAGTTTTCAGTTGTGCAGTTTGTGAAGAGATCAAGAAGGTTTCCATTAGGTCAGGAAGTCACATGGAAAATGCCATGAAATTACTGAACAGTTATGTCACTTAGGAAGAACAGGTTTGTAGTTTTCTTCTTAAATTATCTGGAAGAGACTTTCTGCTTTGCACTAGAGAGTGTGTAGAAACTGGGGAGAGTTGTTTGGGGGCTTTTTTGCTTTGGGAGGGGGTAACAAGTTGACCTTTTTTAGAAGAATCCAACATACTTTTTTAGAAGGAAGCCAGCCTATCTTTTGGCATTCATGCCATTGCTTTGAATTGAATAGATGAAAAAACATCCCTGTCTATTGGAGTAGAGAACTTCTCATGATCACATTAGGGCTTGTTGTTCTCAAAAATAGACTGAGACTTAGGTTGTTTATGCTATTTCCCTTTTCTAGAATCTTAAATGTTGATCAGTAGTGATTTGTTTCATTAGCTGCAAACTAGGAAGGCAGAAGTTTCTTTACAATTTCATTTGGAGGGGATTTTTAGCCTGAAGAAATAATAAGGAAGAGAAAAGTAGGCCAGTGCTCAAAAAACTTAGGTACTTGTATAGAAATTTTAAAAATATAGAAAGTAAGATAAGGATACAGTTCTTTTATATGACCAAACTTGCAATTAGTTCATGTAACAGCTGATGGAATAATTTACATGATTTATATGAAAGTGTATAGCTTGTTCAGGAAACACAGTCAAGGGAAAACAGGAAAAAGTGCTATGTTTGTGTACCAGCAGTGTGTAGGCTTGCTCTGAGGTCCAGGTCACCAGCACCTGCTTGAAAAGGAATACAGCAGGAGACATTATCCAGCAAGTTTTTAAATGCTTTGGTAAGGTTTTGACGCTTCAAGGTGAAGGAAATAGCTAGAGGATTCTTTTCTTTGTAAACAAGGAAGAGAAAGTCACTGAGGGTGTGCAGACAGGGTAACATTGGTGAGAACAATCTAAGATATGTTATTATGTACAGTTCCTATGATGGGAATGAGAAATAACAACACAATAGTGATAGATTTCGAAAAAAGCATGTCTAAGCACAAACAAGATTGAAAGTGTAGTAAAAGAACAATCCCAAACAGGAGAATGAAGTCCATAGGAAGTAGAAACTGTAACAGGTTACTAAGGTCAAAGACAGAAGTGTAGCACAGACACTTAAAGGCATTATGAGAAAGACCAAGACACAAAATGAAATGCAGCTAAGGAGAAATCAGGAGTAATAAGAAATGTTTCTGTAAGGCTAGTTTTCAGCAATTCATTGTCAAAATGGAAAGGGTTATTGATTAGAGTTGTCCTGGTTCCTGTACTATTCAATGCCCTATTAGCAATTGAGATAATAGATGTTTTTCAAATTCCTTCCAACTCCATGATCCAGTATAGTGATTTATGGGTGGGCATACTCTTATGCAGTTACATGAAGTTTTGAAATGTTCCCAGTTCACATCTACTTCCAGATTTTCAAAGCTCTTGATTTTACTTTTAAGAAAGGACTGTATGCAGTATTGAGACCTATACTGAAGAGAAAAAAAGAAAGAAAAGATACTGAAAGTATAAGTGCAAATGAGTCCATGTCTGCTTGGCTTTCTTTTTTAATGACGTTTAGAGAAAATTGTGATTGTATCTTTAGGATGCAGTGACCCCAACGACATAGGCATCCATGTACCTGCATAGCTGGTGTCAGATCCTTTTGAAAGCACCGCTGTACTTGCATCTGGGCTCTATGTGCCCTCACAGCCTTTCTAGCAAGCCCATAGAGACTGTGACAGCTTTAACCAGTATTTGGCAACTTGTTTCTCAGAATCCCAAGGAGTCACGGCTCCAAATCAGCAGAGGGAGAGGGCAACTGTGGAGTTGTTCATACTGGGGCATCTGAAGGAAGCCACACAGTAGAAACTGTTTCTCTGCTGGTGTTTGACACAGCTTCAACTCCAGGTGATGGGCAATGTTATCTTGTTGCTGCCAGGAGGCAGCAGGATACTTGATCAAACATTGACAACATTTTAGAGAACTGATTGTTCTGACCCTCCTGAGGCTAATTTTGAATAGCACTGTGTGAACGTAACAGCTTTCTAGAGGAACAAGAAACAATGCTTTGCCACCTTTGGGCATTGAGGTGGAACTGCTAACATGTTTTGCAGTCCTGTTTCTGGTTTTTCAGTGCACGTGCATCTTTTGGTACCAACCCCTAGGATATGGGGACTGTAATGAGCTCTCTAGAGATTTCTTGCACTCTGTGCACCCTTGAGCTATTCAGTAACGTCCTGTAGACTTACTGGTTTTTTGTTACTGATCTTTCTCATTACCAATGAGTGCTTCACAGTTGGGAGCAGAGTTGGTAACTGTATGGACAGCCCAGCACAGTGCAAAGGAAAGATCAATTAACTTCAATCCTTGCTGCACAAACTTGGATATCGCTTCACAGCAGAACCTTGTGTCCTTTATGTGTACCCAGATATATGCATTTCTTTTGCCTATAGTACGTACACCACTACATAGTTGCGAATGCAACATTTGTCTCCACTTTCCCCTTCGTAGAATTTTGAATATTATATCGATGGCAAGGTGTGAAGGTAGGGGAGAAATCTCTGCTGCAATCTCTGCAAAAATACACATAAGTTTTGGATAGAACCAAAAGAAGAAAATGTTGCTGTTTCTCCTCAGGCTAATGGTTTCCTCACTAACCCTGCACAGCTTTGCTTGGGGATGATGTCACCAAAACAAATGTTGTCCTTTATTTTTCTTTCTAGATTAATACAGCAGATAATTTCACCAATTGCGAGGAGGAAGCAGATGACGACGACACTTACATGCTTATGTTAGGCTCAGAAACTCAACCAGCCATGAGTAAGTCATGTTGTTAGCTTTATCGGTAACAAAGCCTGTGCTGTATTAAGTGAGTGGGATTATGGACAAACGGGGGGGGCAAATTATTTTAATAATTTCAGTTTCCACGTGTTACTGCAACTTTCAGGGAGGGCAAGTAAGGGATTCATCTATGAGATGAGGGAAGGCAGGTAAGGGATTCAGTCACAATAACAGTGTCATCACTCAGTAAGATAGACCTCAGTACAACCACCCCTCCTGGTAAATTCTGGAAATTTGTTGATCTCTTTTCTGAATCTAGAAAGCAGCTGAATTCTCCAAGTTCTCAGAAAACAGCCTTCGTATAAGGGGAGGCGCTGCCTACAGATGTGGCCAGCTCCTGTGAGGAGGCACAGAGAGTAGACGTTTTGCAGCTTGATGTTCATACATCTAAGCATAGATTGATGATGTGCTTGTTGATAATCTGTGTGGTCATATATATTCCCCTTGAGAACTGCAAAGTTGTTTGTTTGCATTTACTGATGGCATATATTTTGTATATGTTTTACAGTGTCATGGATCTATAAAGCTAAACTTTATCTTGTTTCTATCTTAGTTGTTTCTTGACAATTTTATCTTTTCAACTGTCTCATATTTGGTATGAAAAGGATGTTTCTTATTTGCTATGTTTAAACTGGTTGCTTTAGCACAGCTAGGTAGATGATAGACACTGTGAAAATGTGGGCTAGAAACCTGGCTTGCCCTGATAGATTTTCACTGTCTCTATCACGCTCTATATGGAAACACTTCAGTGTGGACACATGGAAGAAGAACATGGATTGTAACAGCTGGCCGTGTTGGCCAGTTAAATGCCCTTATCTCCCATTTGAGTCAGTGGTGAAAGAAAGGCATCACCAAAGGATAACTCAGTGCAAACCTACGTCAAGGGCTCGGTATTACCTGCTAAGCATTGGCTGTAAATCTGCTGATGGACTTCTATAGTTTTCTCTGTTATGTTACTGAGGTTGACTACTTGACTACCCACATCTTGGTGCTGTGCATAGTGATTAAAATGTACACTTTCACATCCCTCCGCTATATTTCTGTTCTGTGGTCTGTGGGTTACTAAACACAGAAGAGCTCCATTTCCACAGGAGTACAGCCATGTCTCCCAGGGGCAATGTTTATTTCATTTTAGAACGATTTAAATAAGCCCCTAAACCCCCTTGTATAAAAACAAGTTACACAGTTACGTGAGCTACAGCTTTATTTTACTAAGTGTTGCACTGTGCTGCATTGAAAGTCAAGTAATACAAATTACGAATGCAAGGTAAGTGTGTGTAATTTCATTCTGACAGCAACTCTAGAAAAGTTTAACATTGCATGTGTATCAGAGGAGTAAGGTATAATAAAAACTTCCACTGTTGATTTGGTAAATATTTAAAAAGCTGTTCACTGACAGTGTGTATTTGACAGCTTTCCTACTGTATTAGTTCATAAAAGTTTTATTAGCCATTGTGTTGCTTCTATGGGAATCCTTGAAAGAGAAAATGTTTCCAGATGGCAAATTTTAAATAAAATAATGCATTCTTTAGCATTAAAAGCCAAGCAGAGCAGACGAGATCAATATGGAATTCGATCAAGATGCCAGCAAGAAGCTGAGGTGGATGAGGGAAAGAAAGATGACGTAGAAGACAGTAGAGAGGAGACAGAACATGAAGATCAAGAGGAGGAAGATTCATGCAGCTTTCAAAACAGTCCTGACAATTTGTATGCCAGCATACCTGATTATCTTGAAGAGAACGGAAGAGGCTGCTTTTTCTGTAAGAGGCCACCCCCTCCTCCCCCTCGAAATCTGCCGGGCATCCTAAGGCAGGACGATCTGCACAATTTATCACAAGGTACAATCTTGGGAGGAAATAACCCCAACTACAAACATGTGCAAGGGCAGACAAGGTGCTGTTGTAGAGATTATGTATGATCGCTTCTTCTAACAGCAGTAGCTAGGCAGTATGGCCCTCATTCTCCAAAGCAAGCGTGCTCATATGAACTTTTGCTGCATCAAGATATTCATGACCAGGTATGCCAGCTAATACTGTGGTGTGGGCTGCTGCATTCAGGTTTCAAGTTTTCCTCACTCTGCCCATCTGAGATTGCTGCCAAATAATACAGGATGCGTTGGATTTACAAGAGAGTCTTGAAACAAAAGATTGAGCTTGTATTTTTGTCAAGTTGACTTAAGTAATTATCATTTAAAAATATTAAATACTGTCTTGATTTAATACAGCTTAGAATTTCACAGGTAGAATTAATAGAAAGTGACTGTGTGGAGAGAAGTAATACAGTATTTTATCACATTTTAGCCAATGTTGATGTTAGAAATAAAAAAGCTATATTGTGTTGCAGATTGAAGAGAGAGGGAGAAATTGTGACCTTTAATGAAATGCTTTGGCTTTTTTTTTTTTACCTTTTTTTTTTAAAAATACTTCTGCCCCAGAGTAAAAGTTTAAAATTTAGTGTTGTAGTTTCATTCAGGTGATAAGCCCAAAATACTATTTGCATCTGTTTCAGAAGGGATGAGTATCATTTTTTTTTCTCATTGGGAAAGATAAGTAAGGAAAATAATTGAAGCTTAAATACTGGTCTTAAATAGTCACATAGAGAAAAAAAACCCTTATTATTTGCCATGGACAGTACTGATGTTTACGCAAATTGCTTCTCAGTTTCTCCACTGCTTATTACTGTTAACTTTGTTTTCAAATGTGGCATCTCCTATTAGAGTCTTAAATTACCATCATCAAGCACTTTGAAGTTCACATAAATAGAAATAGCTTTCTAGCCTTAGACCCCACTATAAGTAGGTTTTCTCCCATTTTCTGCTGTGAAAGAAAAAGCTAACTATATGCAGGAAGTCATAGGTGCATTCTAAGAGAATGAGGGGCAGAATAAAATTAATGTTCAAGATGTGTTTTGCTTCCCACAAAATACTCAACTGCAGTTATATGTGTGCATAAACGAGGGTTCAGGCTTGGCATACAGGATTTGTTAGTGTAGGTGTGATATAAAATCCTGTCTTGGAATAGCTCTCAGGTGGCTATACCATCAAGTAGTAATGTGACCCTATCTGCCAAATGCTGCTTGTCTGTATGTGGGTACCAGCAAAGAAAGTTTCTTGGCTCCGTAGTGTCCTGTGCGGAATCCCATGCTGGTAAGGTAGAGTTTGTCTGAAAACGCTCCTGTGTAAATAGTTCCTTTAAACATGCTGTGAATTCTCCTGAAGTGTTAGCCTTGGTTTCATCATTGGGGAATGGGGTGGGGAGTTTCAGAATTCCTCTAAATGAGGATGATGCTTGCTTTCACAGAGGAACTCTAATGAGTCATTGCTACGTGTTTTTAGTCAGCCCCTTGCTTTAGGTGTTGCTGTGGAACACCTAAAAGGCAAGTTCCCTCTTCTTGAAGTCTTTGTTTTGGCAGTGGCATGAGAGTGCCCCTGTGGGAAGTAGAAGAAAGAATATCCTACACAGAAACAAACAGAACTTTTATAGTGACACGTAAACAAATTTCTCATATTAAATATGGCAGGTGTGTGAATCCCACTTGTTTTAAAACATTTTTATATCTTAGGCAGAATACATGTTGATAGTACATATTAATAATACATCCCATTTATAAATGACACATCCCGTTTATAAATATATCACACAAAGATTGTTTAGCTCCTCTGAACCTATAAACAGGTAACGCAATGCTTTAAATAGCAGCCAAAGGATTGGAAACACCAGTAGTGTCCACAACCTAGTTTAGCAGATACACATGTACAGGCAGTAGATTACAACACGAGGAAAACATGACTCAGTACAAGAATTCCAGGCAGGTCTACTGTTTTTGCAGGAAAGATGAGTAGTCAGTGCAAGGAAGTTATAAACCTTTATGGGAACAGCAGCCTTGGTAAAAGCTTCTAACTCTTAGCAGTTTGTGGGATTTTTACAGATAAATCAAAACAAACTCAGGTTTTGGGAAACTCATTGATTCCTTTTAATGCTGCAAAATGTAAAAGTTAAACAAAAGCAAGTTCTGAGTAGTTGTACTATGAAGTACATGAAATATAGGGAGTACAGAGAGTCAGGGAAGTCATTGGGATATGGGGGTTTGGATAGTGTTAGCATAGATTATAAGAGGTCATAAATTTCCTCTACGCTGTAAGGGGCTTTTAATTTTTTTTTTTACCTTGCCCTACAGTACATCTTAGTAAAGCCCTCAAAACCAAGCAGGACATTGAAAATGCAGGAAAGACAAAACCTAATGTTTTCTAAAGTAAGTTTCAATTCTTAAGTCATTGTTGCAACAGCTAACAAATAGCCTGGATTTCCAAAATGCCAGGGGCCACTGGTAGCACTTACTTGGCTTCACCATTAAAGAACATGTTTGTGTTACTCTCATGGGAGCAGGTGGGGCACTCAGTATTTCTTTTAAGCCCATTTATTTTGGGGCTAATAGCTAAGCATCTATTTTTGATAATCTAATGTGAAATCATGAGGAGGCCCTGAAGTTGGAATTATTCCTTTGGGACATCCTCTCTACTGACTTAGATGATCAGAAGCCTCTGAAAATCAGAGCACTTTAGTTTAGAAGTGAAATTAGGTCTCTGAGTTACTTTAGGAAACTCTAAAGCTTTAAGTTAAGTCTTAATCCCCTTTCTTTACCTTATATATGGAACACAATTCCTCTCTTTTTCAGAGAGGAGTTTTGTGGAGAGCAGGAGTGAAAGAGAACGTCGTGATGGACTCATAACAGCATGCTACAGAGAAGACCAAGATACATGTGAGGGAGATGATGAGGAGGAACACCCGTACACTTTTGCAGTGTTGGATGAATCTGTGTACGATTTCATCCTGGCGGAGGAGGAGGAAAGGAAAGAACGCAGGTCTTTTATCATGAACAGACCACCAGCCCCTGCCCCTCGTCCCATATGTTCGCCGGTCAGAGATGAGAACACTCCCTATATTGTACAAGGTTAGTGCCGCTGCTTTGTAAATATTTGCTTGTAAAATATATATGTGTCTCTTCTATTTGATGAATAATATTTTTCTAGAAGACTAAGATCCTTGTTCAGTTACTTTCAAACCAACAAATTGGTTGATTCAGTCAACCTATCCTCACCTTTCAAATGAGCGAAGAACATCTCTGACTAATGTTAATTTTCAATTTGCATCTCAGGTACCATCACTTTTTTTGGTTTAATTTTACAAAACTTATGACAATAAAATGGAATATTAAGAATTGCTGGGCTAGCTGTGAGTGTGCCTGTTTTAATAGTGCAACACAGAATGTGCTATTTGAATCACCTTTCCTTTCAGTTTTTACTTAATTCTGAGAGATTTTAGCCTTTTTTTTTTTTTTTTTTCTGATGAGAACAGTAGGGAGAAATGTCTGTGTGAGAATTCTTTCAAATATCCTTCCTCCAATGCAAGATGCTAGAAATGGCCATCTGGGGAAGGATGATGTCCTTTTGCCTTTTCTGTGAAAACTGGGGGACTTTTTTGAGATTATTTATGGAAATGTAAGGCTGAAAGGGTTTTCAGGTATCTTGTGATCCCATTCAGACTGAAGCCATATTTCAAAATAACAAAAGGAATTTCTGTGAACCTACTGTAGAGATCTCTGTGTAAGCCCCCAAATCCATACTGTCTGCATTTCCAGACTCCTCTACAAAAACCTGCCAATGTATAAGAGTATGCCTAAGAATAAATGGTAGAAAACCAGGCTGAGAAAGGACACCAGTAGATCGCTTACTCCGTCTGGCACACCTTTTGCACTAAAACAGGAGTAATACTACCCAAATCATCCTACCAGATGCAGAGGAGCACCTCTGTTTTCATGCCTATTTCAGTCAGTGATTTATTTTATTCTTCCTAACTAGCTCTCTTCCTCCAGGCTGTGTAACTCCAGGTGAGGGCCAGAATGCGTGGGCTAATATATTGGTCATTTAATTGCTCTTTCTTCAGCATGTTCAGGAGGTATAAGGATGAATCATCCCAGTAGTTAAAGTGTAATCCAAGAACGGATGTGTATAGGGGGCCTGTTACAACTGCTCCTGAGATGGCTGCTTTTATGGAAATTGCTAGAGTGGTGTCTCAAATCTTGATCCTCCATCATCACAGACAGGCCAGTGACTTGAAAACCCATACCGTGAAGATGCATTATTTGAGAGATTGCTTTTACTGTCTTCTATTGCACTAGAGTGTTTCTGCTTCCTCTACGCTAACTGTTCACTAAGGAAGAGACTATCAGAAGAACTGCTTTGATGGGACTTTGATTCTTTTACACCATATATATACACACAGACACGTACATACACACACGCCCAAGGCTTTTAGCTTTGTTTTTTATGAGCAGGTAGCAGTAGACAAATTAGTTTCTTCTTGTTCGGTGAAATCAGCCTCTGGCTCAAGTTCCTTTACATACACAATAAATGAGAAAAGTGGAAGTCCTTCAAGAAAGCTTCAGTTGACCACTCAGGCCTCTATCTTGCCTGGCTGTCCTGCTAGCTCCAGGTCTGGGGTCTCTTACTCTCCTGTTTTGTGCACGAATTTCTGAGAGAGATAGTGACATTTTAGACAGAAGTGATACATCTTCAGCTGAAAAATTTTTGTCCTTCTCCACAGTGGTTAAAAAATTCTTCATCCAGTCTAGCAATATCCCAGTTTCCAGCTTATTATATTAAAACTGCTTATAATCGGGGAAAAAAGATTGTTTCAGCTGTAAGAACCAAAAAATTTCATTCCAGTCCAACATTAAAATCTGCATGTGTTTGCAGCTATTGCTTTATAATTTAATCTAATCAGTGTAAAGTAAAATTACTCTGGCTAGTGCATATAGACATTTTTCATCCCTCAAATAAATTGATGATAGTTTCAGGTTTTGTTTTCATATATTATGTTTAAAAGAGCATTGCAGAAGTTGCAAAGTGAAATAATCAGAAAGTTAGAATTGAGGTAGTTTTGCTGTTTTACTTCTTTCTCCCTGCCACAAACGTTACAATACAGTCCATAAGTGTATAGCCATATGCTGCTATTTTTCACAGATACTTTGTTTCATCTACTGTTTAAAGTAGGTGAGCAGAAGATGCAAAACTCTTCAGTGTATTTCCTTCCCATTTTTGTTTAAAAAATAATTTGCACCCGCCCTAGGTCCAATGTGTTGTTTCAGACCCTCCTGTGATAAACCCTTCGGTTTGTTCTGTAGCCATTGAGTTTTTGGATGCCCAACATGTAACTAAGATGTCATTCTCGAGATTAACAGTATTATATATTACTTTACTCATTCAAAGCAGAGATCCCATTGATTTCAGTGGCTGCTAGGAGTGCTCAGAACTTCAAATTAAATGCTTAGCATGTCTGGTCAGCACCCTAACGTCAGAGATTCATGAGCCTGATAGCTTCTTACATGACTTGTCTGGTGTTACGTTGGGGCTTTGTTGGAGAGAGAAGTCCTGTTCTGCAGAGCAACTTTTAGTTGCTTCATGTTGGGCATCCTTCCCTCCTCTGTTTTCTCCATTCACTAAATACCTTTTACCTTCTAAAACAAATAATATTCCTGTAAGAAACAGGTTGACTTTACTGCACAGTTCTGGTTGATCTTCAGAACCGTTCTCTTCTGGTGTTCAGTAAGACACAGGTCCTACAGGAAAAATGAAATTAGAGAATGGAGCATGCTGCACAGAGGAGGACTGTGTTAAGGCTACACAGTCACTTCAGCTGGCTCCCCCTGTACTTTGGGAGTTCATGGAAAGGACAAGCTTCATGCTCCAAGGATTGCAGGTACTGTTGTGATGGTGCCATGCAGAGATGCAAGAGGAGGATTTCCTTTGCCTTTTATGTACCCACAGAGGTGATGGAAAATCGTGGGCTCATTTATTGGCAAAAAAAAAGGTGTAAGCACTGCATAGTGGAAATGCCTTTTGTTTCTTGAATTGCGTGCTGGTGCCTCCTTTTTAATTTAGTTTTTGTATCCATCAGGACAAATCAAGTGGCTGAATTCCCATGAGGGCTTTCACCACACATTGAAGTCCATGAAGTTACAAAAGAGTATCTTGTCCTTTAACCAAAAGTGGTGGTGTTTCTATGAGAATGGAAACAGGAAAACGAGCCAATAGTCCTCTTTGTAATAAGTAGCTTTCAAATACATGGAAGCTCACGTTTACTGTAGGCAGAAAACCTGCTAGGTGTAGATTACCACTTGGTGCTCTGCAGAATAGGATAGCGGAGCTGTTGATCTATAGAAAACAAACACGGGACTTCATAAGCCCATTTTAGGAGTTTCTTTCAGAGCAGGATCTACACTTCAAAACCTAGGCACTCAGTGATGCAAGCTGTCAGAACTGAACTACCACAATTTACAGTTTGAGCATCTGACCTGAATTTGCTGACAAATAAATTCTGGAAAACATGAGTGAATTGAAAGATTTAAAACATAAGTGTTCTAATCACTTTTACTCAATTTCATTTATTTTCAAATTTTAATGAACATGCAGACTACTGTATTGAACCCTGCTAAACTTACCGCATCTTTAACAAACAGACAGTACATTTGTTCTTTAATTTAGACCACTGCAAGAATTCTGCCTTCTGTGTGAAAGGCGCATCAACCAATGGAGCTGCAAAGCGGTGCCAAATAGTTTGTTGTCCAGATGGTGTGCACTCTTAGTGCGCTCCCTTGCCATTCCTCAAGTGCTTAGTATTCCTTTGTAGGTTATTTCTGTGTTTTTTCAACTGTGCGCTGCCAAAACAACTGTTAAATAAATGTATGAAGGTGTTGTGTTTTCAGTTTACAGTGCAATTTTAATGTTTCCTACTGATACCAGATTTGATTGAGCTGGAAACCCAAGTCCCTAGTGCACTCATAGGACAGGTGCATGAGTTTCTGTAATGCCTCCCTGCATTTCTGAAGTCTGACCTACCAGGACTGCCTCAGGGCTTAAGAATTACCTTACTGTCCCAGTTTGATGATTTACCTCTTCTCGGAGACCACCAGTAATGGAGGGGTTCTCTGCAGCAAGGGCACCTGTCCTACAACAGCATAAATAAAACTTCACATGCTGTAGCTTTTATTCCTTTGCAAACCTCTCACAAATCCCTGAAGGAATGTATTTCCCCTCTGTGCACTGGCAACATTTTACTTTTTAAAGATTGCTGTCTGTGGGACTTCACGCTAGGGTTAAAAGTTAGAAGTGGAAAAATATATTTGCCAGTTACTATCCCAGAAGAGAATAGCATTCTCATTGCTCATCAGAATCACAGGGTATGCAGGAAAAATAGCAGCCAGCGGATATTTTTAGGGAGGCGGAATATCTCATGTACAGAATACACAACATAAACCCATGTGAAATGAAAAAACAAATTCTAGAACAGAACTGTTAGGGTCTTGGAAACTTATCAGGCTGATTACTGGCAACTGTAGTGAGCGCAGCCTGAGTTAGTAATTCTTATTATGCAGATTGTTTAAATGCTCTAAAGCAGGGGTTTCCAAAGTGAAGCCTCAGAGCCCATGCAAACTGCAAAACATTTGTGTCCCACAGAGGAATTTTTTAGTACTTTCCTACAGTGAGTATAAAGTACTGCACTGCAGATGAATTTCATTATGTATCCCCAACTTAAGGGTGTTTTTCCATGAATAAAATACTAGGAACCACTGTTCAGCTGTCTTAGAGCACTCAGACTGTTTTTACAGACCTGGTTGGGAAGTGGTATACCGGCTTCATCTGCTGTGTTCATTCAGTGAGATTTTTTGCTATCTTAACTTTGGTAGATTGAAACATGTACTGAATAAGCTGCACAGAGAGAAAACATTTATAGGATGCTGCCTAGCTGAAAAGCAAACTGTTCTAAATAGCATATTTCTGGTAAAACCAGATATAGAGTCTTCCCCTTTTTGCTTTGCTGAAGAAAAATGGGACTGCAGAAGCATGTTCGAGTCTTTTATGCTGGAGCAAATATTCTTGAGTTACATAGCTA